TTTTTTTTAAATATATCTTTATTGATTTCAGAGAGAGGAAAGGAGAGGGAGAGAGAGATAGAAACATCAATGATGAAAGAGTCATTGATTGAGCCCACAACCCGGGCATGTGCCCTGACCGGGAATCAAACCCCGATCACCTGGATCCTAGGTCGATGCTCAACCGCTGAGCCACGCCCAGCCAGGCTTTCTCAACTCTTCATTGTGTGGATCTACTTAATCCTTCTAGCAAAGAACATCTCATCGTCCCTCCTTTCTGTCCAGTCTCAAATTCTAGGAACAGGCAAAGACAAAATGAGGTTGAGGGTTAGGGTGGTGAAGGGGAAGGTGGACCAACAATAACAGCATTCTCATTGGCGGGCAGAGGGAGAGGGGCATCTCTAATAAAGATTCCCATGTTAATCATTTATATATCCATATAATATCCATCTGATATCATAATGCCCATAAAACAGAAATATTCTATTCCATACTCTGTATCGATTGCAGGTAAAGGTGTCATTGTGTTCGAATATTGCTGGATGTGTGGGAGATAATTAAACATTGTACCTACAACTAATAATCATTATTACCTTTCTTATTTATAAATCTGTCCCATGAGTGTGTTTATAGTGATAAGATATAATATTTTAACCCAAAAGTGTGCTTTTTAATATAAACGTGATATTTAAAGAACTGACTTTTTGGAGCCCATGCAAAATATTAATGCTCATCCTGTTTTTCTGATGACACATTTTGTGGAAAATCAGGAAATAACACAAATATTTCTCCTCATGTCACCGTCATTGTGTGAGCCTGTGTAACCTCCACGACAAATATTGGTTGGCCTCCCATTATATCACTTAAGGAAACTCCGAGATGTTTGTGCTGAACTGTGAAACTTTCAAAATGGACACGATGAAAATCAAGCGTTGGATTTCGCTTCAGAATCTTTTTAGTTAAGTGTCAACCATGAACAGATTGTATCTTATCACACAAGCAGATGGAACAATACCATTGCTGGTTTTTTTAAACCAGTTCAAACATTAATTACTGTGTGTACCTTTTCATTGGTGTCATATTATACCAAGTACCTGTGGCTAGATTAAGACAAGCAAATTAGGCTTTTCAATTAGCAGCATTTGCTTCGCAGGTATGTACCTCGGGTCCCTTCTGTACAAAAGACTGTAAGGTAGGTGCTGGGGGGGGGGCAGTCATAGAAAGAGGTCAGGCAAAAAACTGGCCTTCAAAGATCTTAAAAGCCTGTGGAGCTAATCAAACATTCCCACAAATAATTATACTCCTGCGTGGAAGTGTAATGAAAGTGTCAGTGCCTTCAGAGAGGTTTAGAAGATGTGTTCAAAGAATCTTAAGAGAGGGATGACTTAGGGATGGGAAGATCTAAGACAGCTTATGGAAGAGGGGGCCATTGACCTGGACATGGATGGACAAGTCCCATTTGGATGCACAGAAACTCAAAAGAAGAACATTTCCAGAGAAGGGACTCTTAACAAAAGCAGGACATGTTTAGGTGTGAGGTGGTGTTATTTGGTTGTGCTAGAGGGAAAGAGAACAATAGAACATGAGAGTGAAAAGGCAGTCCAGGCAGAGGACAGCGGTCATGGAATGATGTGGAGTGTCCTGGGAATGGGAAGGAGTCTGTTATGGCCAGAGTGTTCTTGGAGTGAGAGGGGCTGCAGGTCAAGCCTAGAAAGGAAGGTTGCAGACAAATTTCTCAGGGAATTGTGTGCCTAGTTAAGGAGTTTGGTGTTTATCCTATACAGACATAGAAACCAACAGAGGGTTTATGAGTAAGGTAACTGTGGGCAGGATGAAGCATAGGCTAGCAGGGGTCAGCAGGCTTTTTCTGTAAATGGCCAGATCGCAAATATTTCAGATTTTGTGGACTACATATGATCTCTATCACATGTTCTTTGATATTTTTTCCTTCCCCCTCCCTC